CGATGTTTCTGTCTTTTACCCCCTCTCATTTCCTCTCTCTTTCTAAAATCAATAAGGGAAAAAAATAAAAATAAAATATCTCTTTAAACCTTCTGCCCATTTTTAAATCAGATTGGTTTTCTTTGTTTTTGTTCTTTTTTTAAAAATTTTGCCATTGAGTTGTATGAGTTCTTTATATACAGAGTGGGGCAAAAGTAGGTTTACAGTTGTGAGTAAACAAAACACAGTTTATTCTTATACTATTATTGTATTATTTTCCATGTGAACAACTGTAAGCCTACTTTTGCCCAACTTTTTATTTTTAATATTAGTCCTTTATCAGATATATGATTTTCAGATATTTTCTTCCTTTCAATAGGTTGACTTTTTTTTTATTGATGGTTTCCTGTGCTGTGCAGAAGATTTTAGTATGATATAAACCCTTTTGTTGCAAAAATATTCTCAATGTTTATTACTTCAGTGAAAAAAATAAATATAGTTTATTGCTTATTTTGCCTTTTGACCAAAAAGGTCTTTAAATTTGTATCCAGAAATGGTCCATCAAAACACCTCCTTAGTCTTTAGTTGGGTACATGCCCTTAGCGGGAACCGAACCTGGGTCTCTCTGGACCACAGACTAATGCTCTAACCACTGAGCAAACCAGTCAGGGTGAAAATTCACATTTTAAAGGGTTACCTATACCAGTACAAGGTTTGAAAATGGCTCACCACTCTAACTTTGGTAAAGCTATTCACTTTTTAATTTTGTGAAGAAACTGTAAAAATCTAGACTGATCACAACTTTAAACATGTAGTATATCTAGTAGATATATATATACATTTTTAAAATATATCTTTTCCCAAACTGAATAAGGATAAAACTTTCTCTTCCAGATTGTGAAGAATATTATGCTTATATCATATGACATAAGTGTAGAAACTTGTGAATAGATGATCTTCTAGACACAATATAGTTTATATCACCTGATACACATCACCAGATATACTCTATACTAAATCTTAATATAAGGACACAAAATTAGATTTTATTGTATTTCTATAACATAATAGACTTTTGATTTTTGTTTATTAATATATTGTTAAATATTTGATTATTTTGCAGATCTTAATTATGGTAAAATTATTAAAAATGAAGCATCTTTTATATGAACCATTTATTTGTATCAATAAGTTATTTTGCTGAATGAGAGCCAGTTTATCAGTTCTTTTGCTAAAAGAAATGAGCCAGTGGCCATCTCACTTGTATTTATTATTGGATTTTATTGTAAAATATAAAATTTTATTGTTTTGAAAGGTGCATATGACAGTGTTTCTGACTACCATAGTGTAAGCATTTAAATAAAAGTAGGATAAAGGAGAAGTCTAAACTGCCTGTTACCATCATAAGTGTACCTAATTAAGAAGATATTTAGGGTTCACCACTATTTGGTTTCTTAGGTAGGAGAGAATATTGTGAAGGACAACATTAAGGGATGGTTTCCATGCCAGTCACATTAAAAGAATTTTATTGAGACATTACTTCTGTGGGGCTCATCCATTTTGATTGATTGAACTGGTATTTTAGGCTCATTCAAACAGCTGCTGTCTCTGGATTGTAGTTTTTCACATAATTCATCTAATTTATTGGTGATATGGGGAACATTTAAGCTTGGCTGACAGTAGCGATAGGGTTGCCACTGTTTGTGACCACAATACTATTGTTAATGCTGGCTGGTGTGGCTCAGTTGGTTGAGTGTCATCCAATGTACCAATAGGTCACCAGTTCCATTCCTGGTAAGGGCACAAGCCCAGGTTGTAGACTCAATCTCCAGTACGGGGTGTGCAGGGGGCAGTAGATCCATGTTTCTCTCTCATCAATGTTTTTCTCTCTCCCTTCCTTTTTCTCTAAAAAAATCAATAAAAACATATTAAAAAAATACTATTGTTAAACCTTAAGGAGAATGATTGTGTATGTTAAATGTGACAAAAACATAGCTACTGGCTTTTTCTGGAATAATATAAATGATTTATCTAACTTCACTTATTAATTCTGTCAGAGTAAGATAAGATTAACATGATTTATTTAAAAATATGACTGACCCTGAAGTGTTTGGGTTTTATTTTGGATTATTTGTTGTCATATTTTACTCAGTGTGTTCGGCTGCTGTTTTGTTTTTATTCTGCAATATTGTCAACACAGTTTGTATTATGTCTGGTCAGAGGCATATAGTTCACACTGCAGTTTCAAAAGTGTATACAATTCTACTTGCCATGAGTGTCATGTCCTCCCAACCTAACTAAATGTTAAGTGGGACACACTAGCACAGACAATAAAGTGAAACAGAACTATAAATGTTGTTAAAATCTTGCTGTCTGTTTTTATCTTGTGTTCTAGTTCCTGATGAAACTATGAACTATGGAACCCAAGACTCTCCTGACAAGGCCCCAAGTTTGACCCCAATGTGAGAGCTCTGCCTGCTCAGCCTTTGGTCCTTTCTCTCTTCTGCCCTCTGGCAGGTGTCAGGGAGCATGACATGCAAGAACTTCCTTCAAAGGAAGTCTTGTGTTTACTAGGAGACAGGTTCTCTGGTACCCCAGTGCCAGGGGCCACTCAAAGCCTGAAATTGGAGAGGGGGGGAGCAGACAGATGTAAGACAGGGAAAGTACTGGCAGGGTTATGGTCTTAGGGAAGAAGCTATTCTGGGTCTTAAGTAGAGAGCTGAATCCTTCAAGTAGTAACTAGTATGTACCAAATCCAGCTCCAGGAAAAATCGATTCCAGAAGGGTGCATAAAATGAAATAGTAGACTAAATCTAGAGTGTGATTGATTCAGGTTGGAAGTTTAAATTGGGTTGACTCTAAAGAGGGATATATTTGGTGCCAAGCATTTGTGGCAGCATATGAACTTATTATCCAAGTTTGATAACATTTTTACTCTGTGCCTGCTATATAATTATAATGATAATTATATAATTATATAATATTATAATGATAATTATATATCTAGTATTCAGTGAGTACCTTTTATGTGTGAGGCACTGTTAAAAGTTTTACATGCAGTGCCCTCTTGCCACTTTACAGAACCTCTGTGATACAGGTTACCATTGTGCAGCTGAGCAAGGCTATATAGCTAATATGAGGTGTGGCTAGTGTTTGAATCTAGGCATTCTGACTCTAGCATCCTTACTGTGAATAGCTGTGCCATGCTGCATTCTTGCTGCAGCTGCAGAAAGAGTATGGCACTTTGATTTCCATATGAGTGGGATGTAAGTGGTGGGAGATGAAACTGAGCAAAGCCTTTTGTATATACATACCATTCAAAGTACTGAAAGATAGAAAATAAATAAGGGATCTATCCCTGCAACCAAGAAACCTGAAGTTTTATAGGACAAAGGAGATATAATATGAAACAAATAATACATATTCATATGATAGAATATGAAAATATTCTCTCTACTTAAGTATAGGCGGGAAGAGGACTAGAAGTGTTCCTTTCAAACATTTGCTCGTGAAAGTTAGCTCTTCACTGCTGGCACAAATTTGCTTTCCTCTGGGCTTTTGACTTGGTAGACCAAAACTCTGACTCTGTACTCAGAAGACTTGTCCTCGTTGAGTTTGGCAGAGTTATCTTCTACAATAACACTTGTCATTAAGATCTCTAAACAGATGGACCCATTAGCCTATTGAACTAACACTGAATGAGCTATTTATTTTTCAGTACATTAGTAACATTTTCAAAAATCTACAGCCCTGGCCAGGTGACTCAGTTGGTTGGAGGTCATCCCATACAACAGAATATTGCAGGCTTGATTCCTGGTTCGGGCACATACCTAGGTTGTGGGTTCGATCCCTGGTTGGGGCATATACAGGAGGCAACTGATCAGTGTTTCTCTTTCACATTGATGTTTTTCTCTCTCCCTTCCTCTCTCTCTAAAAAATCAATAAACATACACTTGGGTGAGGATAAATAAATAAATAAATCTCTAACCACTGCTTGTTTGATGGTCATCCTGGAAAAAGTTGGTTGGAGCAGGTGAGGGGCAGTTATGAATCTGGTTATAATCCTTGGTTTATGTTTGCCCTATTTTATTTGGTAGATACTTCTGTATGCCAGGCGCTGGTCTGGGCATGGAATTAGAGCAGTAAACAGAATAGACAGGGCCCTTCTCTCAGGGAGCTGTCTTTTCCTCAGATTTCATTTGCTCTCTGTACATTTCACAGTTGATATAAAAGTGCTCTTGGTATGAGTTTCAGGATTTCATACATTGGAGATAATACAGTGATCACACTTCCTCTCTCCTTAGCTCAAGCCAGTCCTTTCTGAATAATGAGGAGTGGGTAATAAGGGGGATGACCATGCTTATGGGGATGACAGCAGGTCAGGGTGTACTGTCTTTGTGCTGTGATGAGATAGGAACAGGGCACACCTGTTTCCTAGCTATTCAATGTGGAACCATCCTCACTGAACAAGCCCGCCCACCAGCCTGCATCCTAATCCTGTTGTTGATTGGAGATAGCTTCAGCAGTCATAGGGCATCTCATCTCCATGGCAACACCTCTAAATATTCCTCTGATGACTTGTGCTCTACATTCTGTCTGAATCTGAGTTCTCCTATGGCAAAATATTTGAAAGATGTTAAAAAGAGGGGGGAAAGGGCTCAAGTAATAAATTTATTCTAAATGACTGAGTCATTTGTTTTGATGACCCGGGTTACTGCCAAATGTTAATTTAAAATCAAAATAGGCCATGAGCTCACTCCACTAACAATGCTGAGTGTTTGTCCTAGTACAGCTTGATAATGAGGAGGCCAGATCCACTGCCGGTGCAAATGTTATATGATAAACAGACTTTTGGGGAAATATGCAGACCATCTTGGCAGTTTTTCTTTAACTTTAAGGGTAGTAAATACAAAGTAGAATGTGTCATCATGAGCCATTTCAAAAAAAGTTTACCTTTTTTAGAATTTCATACTTCTGAAAAGGTAACTTTACCTCTTGATTTTCATTTTTTCCTAACTTAGGCACGTTGGAAGTTGTTGACAACTATATCCAGCCCTTGCTGAATACATCTTATTGTCCACATATCCAGTGTGAAGTAAGTACTACTAATTGTTCCTTACACTGCTCTCCAGCCTTTTCATGTATAGTGTTAGGGTTGACCTTGTATGAAGAGCTTTATTTGTACAGTAGATTTAAAAGGGTTAATTTTAATTGACCCAACCATTATCACTGCTTACCCTAAATATTACCTCTCTAGGGAATGCCTTTTCAAGGGAAAAAAATCTCATTTGCTTTTAATTGGGGGGGTGGGGCATGAAAAGTGAATGTGCCAAGCACAACAGAATTGTTAGGTCTATTTGAAAATAAGGATCTGCTCATGTCATAGTGTGAACAGTAGGGAGCAGGAAAGCTGCATGGAGCAAATACTGGGATGGAGGGGAAAGATTCTTGCTGACAACTGTGAAGAGGTTGGGCTAACCCAGTCAACTGTCAATGAAAGGAGCCGAGGTGCAGGATGCCTCTGTAGAATCTGATGGTAGGACTGCCACAGAATGCTTCCACTGGCTTACATTAACATGGGCCAGAAGATTTTTTTCTGATTAGTATTAAAGTTCAGAGCGTTGCACTGGTGGGAGCAGCCAGATTGACCAGCCTTTTCTCTGTGTATGTTTTTTTAAATTGATATTTTAGAGAGAGAGGAAGAGAGAGAGAGAGATAGAAACATTGATGTGAAAGAGAAACATGGATCAGCCACCTCCTGCACTCCCCCTACTGGGGATCGAGTCTGCAAACCAAGCATATGTCCTGACCTGGAATTGAACTGAGGCCTCTAAATCCATGGGATGACACTCAATCCACTGAGCCACACTGGCTGGGCATGGAATTAGGCTGGGCTGACCAGCCTTTTCATTTAACACATTGGATAACTGTCCTCTATCTTCTTCATTTAGCCATGTTAGCTTATGTCTTCTCCATGATGATTCAGGGTTACCTATTTCTGTCTTTGAGAGACTGGATATTCACTTATGAAAATAGTGAAAGGAGAGAATCTCAAAGATGGTTCATCAAGGCATAGTGGAAGGGGCCCCAGTCTTTCTGCTTTTGTGTAGCCATGTGTTTTTTCTTCCCTTCCACTGTGCCATGCCACCATGCACACTCCCACATTTAACGTAGGTCCTTGTATTTCTGTTAGGGTAGATGTTCACTAGGTGGCAGTAATTGCATTTGTTGCATCTACTTGCTGCAGAATAATGCACAGACTTAAAAAATATATATTCAAATACCTAAATATATTATACCTTAATGAGTTAAAAAAAAGTAGGACTGGTTTTTAGAAGTGTTTAATCAGAATTTTTTCCAATTTTATCAATTATGGTAGAAGTTGGAAGTCCTTCCCAGGGCCTAGGGCTTTACACTGGCTCAGTGACAGAAGCTTCAGCAGTTTCTCTCAGCTGCCAGAGATGGACTCTTCCATCTTTGAGTCTAAGCCCTATCATTCTTGGCCTTTACCTGAAATAGTTGTTTTCAATTTATTTTTTTTTTAAATTATAGAAACCTGTTTTCCAATAAATTCTTAGGTCTAACCCCAATAGAGAATACCAAAGCAGAACTGCTTTGGCTCAAGTATGAGATTGTGAATGTTTGACCATCCTCTGAGGAACCATTCCCAGGGCAGATGGAAAGCACTGTGCTCTGCCTAAAGAGCAGAGATTTTAGCTGTGAGCCCCTTCACAGCTCTTATTTTTGTTTTTTTCACAGACGCAGATTAGATTGTTCAAGGAGATACACGGAAGGGGAAAATATCCTCCCATTAACTTAGTTGGAGATGCTGGCTAGGCGAAACGTGGCCATTCACATGCATTTTTTGTTCTTAGTCATTCCACAGCAATATGACACTATGACAAGTTTCATCAGTAGAAAACTTTAATATACAGATAATGTATCATAGAATTGTACACTTTAAACCTATATAATTTTATTAACCATTGTCACCCAAATACATTTAATTAAAAACTTTTTCAGCCCTGCCATGTGTGGCTCAGTTGGTTGGAGTGTCATCCCCTACACCAAAAGGTGGTGGGTTCAATTCCCAGTCAGGGCACATACATATGTTGCATGTTTGATCCCTGGTTGTGGTGCATGCAGGAGGCAACCAATCGATGTTTCTCTCGTAAATTGTTGTTCCTTCACCTCCATTTCTCTCTAAAAAAAAAATCAATAAAATTGAAAGAAAGTTTTAAGGAAAAAAATATTTAATGGTAACTATGTATATAAGACTGTACTCTTAAAATGGAACTTTTTGATAGAAGCTTTTGAACACATATTTGAAGTTGTTTTGTGATATTAAGAATGTTCCAATGACATCTTTATCTTTTTTTGTTAATCCTCACCCAAGGATATTTTTTTCATTGATTTTTAGAGAGAGTAGAAGGGAGGGAGGGAGGAAGGGGGAGACAGAGAGAAAGAGAAAGAAACATCGATGTGAGAGAGACACATCAATTGGTTGCCTCCCGCAGGCACCCCAACCAGGCTGGAGTTTGAACCTGCAGCCAAGGTATGTGCCCTTGCCTAGGAATTGAACCCATGACCTTTCAGTCTGTGGGCTGACACTCTAAACACTGAGTAACACTGGCCAGGGCCGATGACATCTTTAATTTGACCAAAACTTGTGTTCTCTTTTAGAGCAGTGAGTTTCTCAGTTGATTTATTAAATATAATCTGTTAAATTCTGTTGTCACCCTGACAGAAATATATAGAATTGATGTAATACAGTTTAAAGTTACAATGCATTTGTAGCTTGTGATCTTCTTTTCTTTCATTCATTTATTCAGCCCTACTATGTACTAGGCCAGGAGTGTAGGAATGAGCAAAACAAAAACAATAATATATTTTGGTCTGATATTCTTCAAGTGTAGACATCCCTAGATTGTTTTTCTTTTTGCAGATGATGTAGCTAAAAAATGATTTGCCTTTTTAAATTATTTTTAAAGCAAAATAATGTTATTTTATTCCCATTAGATTAGCAAAAATTAAGAAGTTTAAGAAAATTTATTGATGATGCAGAGCAATGAGAAAGTTTGAATGATATATTGGAATGCTGATAGGTATTATCTAGTAAAATTGACAATATGCATGTCTTAGAACTCAGCAATTTGACTTCTACGTACTATACAGTCTAGAGAACCTTTTAGTAAGATAGACCAGGGAATACAGAATATTTATAGAAATGTTCATAAAAGCAAAAAACTGGAAACAATCCGAATGTCTATCAGCTGGAAAATGGATAGTGATATAGTCATACAACAATGAAAAACCTGGATAATAGACAGGCATAGATGATAGAAATTTGCAAGTCTTCATGATGTACATGGTACAAACTTTAAGCTTGAATGAAATCATACTTAGAGCCCCGTAATGTGAAAAGAGATACTGGCCAAGAATGGCAGAGGATAAGGGACCCTCAAACTCTCTTTTCAAAAAGGCAGTGAAAACATTGCCTTTTAAAATTAAATTGTCATGCCCTGGCCGGTTTGGCTCAGTAGTTAGGGTGTCAGCCCACAGACCAGAGCGTCCCAGGTTTGGTTCCTGCTAAGGGCGTGTACCTCGGTTGCAGTTTGTCCCTGGCCCTGGTTGGTGTCCTGTGGGTGGCAACCACTCAATGTTTCTCTCTCTCTTTCTCCCTCCTGCTCTATCTGAAGATAAATGCAAAATAATAATAATAATAAAAAGTCCTCTGGTGAGGATAAAAAATAAAATAAAATAGCCCAGTATTGAGTAAACTGCTTTGGGTTCAGGGGTACAATTCAAAGTACCTGTATCCAATCTGCTCTTTGAGCCTGCAGTTTATGCCACCTCTGTAGATGCATGTGCAACTAATGAAGTATGCAGTAATTGCTGGGGAAGCAGCTGTGCCAGGGATCCAAATGACCCCATAAAGAAAACAAATGTATACAGTGTATTCCACACTCTAATTTTAAATGTTAGTTTGGAATAATTGAACAATTTAGGAAAATGGACTTTGCAGTTTCCATTGGAGGATATTTTGTTTTTTTAAATGATGTGTCCCATTTTATGTTTAACACAGCATTTATGACAGGAAAAATATATAATTCAAGGGTTTGCAATTATTCCATTTGGCTGCCTTTTAGTTATGGAATTATTATTATTATTATTTGGTTTTATTATCTAGTCAAAATTTATTTTTGATATTATTTTTGTTACAGATATTTCTCCTTTTTTCCATTGACACCCTCCTCCCCATTCCCGCCGCCCCATCCCCGGCTTTGTTGTCCATGTACATTGGTTATGCATACATGCATATAAGTTCTGCGGTTTATCTCTTCCCTCCCCCCGCCATCCCATCTTCTGGGGATTGTCAGACGGTACCCTACTTCCATGTTTCTGGGTTACACTATTCCTCAGACTGTTATGTTCATTATATTCCATAAATGAGTGAGAACATGTGGTATTTGTCTTTTTCTGCTTGGCTTGTTTCACTTAGGATAATACTTTTCAAGTCCCTCCATGTCATCTCAAAGGATAAAAGATCTTTCTTTCTTACCGCTGCATAGTACTCCATTGTGTATATGTACCACAGCTTTCTTATCCATTCGTCTACTGATGGACATTTGGGCTGTTTTCAGATCTTAGCTATTGTAAATAGTGCTGCTACAAACATGGTGGTACATATATTCTTTCTGATTGGTGCTTCAGGCTTCTTAGGGTATATTCTAAGAGGTGGGATCATTGGGTCAAATTGAAGTTCACTTTTTAATTTTTTGAGGTAACACCATATTGTTTTCCATAGTGACTGCACCAGTCTGCATTCCCACTAGCAGTGTACTAGAGTCCCCTTTTCTCCACACTCTCATAAACATTTGTTGTTTGATGATTTGTTGATAGAGGCCATTCGGACAGGTGTGAGGTGATACCTCTATGTTGTTTTAATTTGCATCTCTCTGATAATTTAGTGATGTTGAGCATTTCTTCATATGTCTCTTGGCCATTTGTATGCCCTGTTTGGAGAAGTGTCTATTCAGCACCTTTGCCTAATTTTTAATTGGGTTCTTTGTCTTCCTATATATTTTAGAAACT